GAAATGTATAGTAAACCCCCAAACACATTTTTTCTGTTTCAATCACACTGAATTTTTGTAAACTATTAAACAGAATATTTTTGTTATATTTACAACATCAGTGTGTGATTGTAATCAAATTTATTTGTTAATACTACAAATATTGGGAACAAAAACAGTGAAATACTTTAATATTCATGACAAAACAATTATGTTAATTTGACATACAAATATTGTAAAAACTGTAGTTTTAGTCAGTTGTTTGTAAAAAATGCATGAATTATATGTAAGTCACTTTACAAGTTTATACTGTAGGCCTGTAACGGACTACTTTTAACATGATTACATGATGAAATTATGCAAATTCAGGTACAGGGCTAATAAAAATGTTTTTCACAGAAAATGTCATTGTGAACTGGAGAGGTTACTTCTCTATTTTTATACTATACAAAGATATACAATTATAATGACATTGCCAATTTTTTAATCATTCAGGCTATTTGCAGCCTATTGTAGAGTAACCTATAAGAAATTATTATTATCGATAGCCTAAGTAACACTTCTGTTCAGTCATAATCCTTGTATTCTTTATGTTTCTTTTAATTGTAATGTGATACTTAGACTAGACTACTGTTTTTGGGTTAGGTTAGCAATGTATCATATCACAGGCTAAACAACCTAACAGTGCCTCCCATAGGATGTCTATGGTGCCTCATCTCCACAGAGCTGTAAGCTACTGTAGCCTGCACTGAGTACCTAATTTTGAATGTGCATCTGTAGCTCGTCTCCGATTGGATAATGACATGAGGGCAGGAGGAGCGGGAGAAGAGCTGCTAGTTCACAGCTACGGCGAACGAACCAGCAGCACGCACCATCTGCAGAGTGGAAAGAGAACATGGGAGCAGAAAACGTTGAGCCTCACTACACACTTTATACGCTTTTCTCAGACAAGCCTGAACATTTTCACACTTTTCGCTCTTGTTTAAACTCTCTCAAATTTCAAACCTTAGTGGAAAAATAAGTCCAGTATTATAGAACGGTTGTATGCACGTGTTTACAAAAAAGTAGGGAAAATGTGTAGGACGCATAAAGCATGTTCCCCAGATGGTATTGATGTACAATCTCACCCTCAGCCCCCAAATGATAGTAAAGATTATTAAGAAAACAAACATAAAAACATGTCACCTGCTAGTTCAGCCAGTGATATGCCAGAGAATGATAGTCAGTCTTATCTCAGGAACACGTGTCTCTTTTACCTTAAACTGCAAGGACAGCTGCTAATTCCTGCCTCTAATATACAGACTACTTGGATTTGAAGGGGAAAAGGTCTTCTGGACTGCATGACCACAGTTGGTGTCAGCAAAAGCAAGACGTTCCTTCAGACTGATGCAAGGCTTAAGAGGATATGGGGACGCAAAGTGGCTGCTTAGATGATGTGAAAGAGGTGGTCCTGCTTCTGTTCAGCTCCTTTGAAGAGAAGTAGGAGTTCATGTGTTTCCATGTAGAAGATACATGTCTGGCAGATGAGGTGCAACTGGAGCAAGTGTCTCTGACACCCACTATTATTGTCTTTGGTAAGTCTGTTTCATAGCTCTCTCTCACTCTTTTTAATTTCACTGTTTATAGAATGTCATGTACATCAGTGCTTATTAATATAACCTGTTAAATAATTTGTTCAAAGGTGAGCAAATATGTCTTTCTTATTTCTCAGACCTGAGAATCTCACGTTACAACAATTGTGATTGAGACTCTGGGATCTGGAGTCTGGCTCTGACTCTTGGTTGGGTTTGCACCC